CAAGGATAGCCACTGGGACCACGGCCGGGCCTGATGGGCCTGACGGGCCAGACCGGGAACAGCTCTCCTGGCTGGAAGGGGCAGGTGAGTGGGGAGGGTGAGGGGAGAGGAGGCATTGAATAGGTGCACCAGGCTGGGAACCTAGTGGGCAGTGTCACCATGGGTGGGCATCATCCTTTGCTAGGTCTGGGAAGGGGGCAGCTGCCCATCAAAGACTGTCAGGCTGATGACATGCCCGGGGCCCTCATGTACCCCACCCTGCTGACGCAGCCAGCCCCACCCCTCCACCCTGTGGTGTCAGGACCGGGAGGAGCAGGGAGCTGCTCTGGGCCACCTTCCCAGGTGGCCCCCGAGGAGAGCGGGGGTGTAGGGGCCGACCTGGCTGAGGCGCACTACGAAAGGGGGACAACACCCCATTTTGCTCCTCCAGCAGTCACTCCAGGGCTTCCGCTCCCACAGCTTGAGCTCCCCCACACACAGCCACCCCCGATTTCTCTCTAGCCCAGATGGTATGAGTCCAGGAATGTCCCTCTGCCCCTCAAAACTGCCAGGATCAGACCTACATCCAGACAGGTCCCCCTGCCACGCCCTGTCCCTCCCCAGCCCAGCCCTGTGCCTTTCTAAGGCCAAGGAGGCAGAATCCACAGAGGATCCTCACTGCCTCCCTCCCACCCTGGCTGGTGCTCCCCTCTGGGCAGGGAGCGGGTGGCCGCCTTCACCCCACAGTGCCACCCAAGCCCAGGCCACACACAGGCGGTTCGGGGACACAGCGGTGCCTGCACTGTGCTGCTGCTGAAGCCAAGTCAGCAGCTCAGAGCCCAGCACAGGGACGGAGCGGCCAGACTCACAGGGGTACCAGTCAGGGCCCAAAGCCACTGTCAGAGGGCTCACAGGGCCTGGGCCATGCCGGTGGGCTGGCAGGGAGACACTTCTGGGGACCCTGGGGCTATTTAGCTGCATCCCCAAACCCAGTTACAGAAGAATCCTTCATTTCAGCATTGAGCTCCCTCCTACAGAATGCGGGGATGCAAAATGAGACCTGTTTCCACACGGGGTTCGCAGAAGCAGAGGAGGAGACAGAGATTCCTCCAGAGTCCCTGGCAGTCGTTCAGAGCCCCGCGGACCGGGGACCTGGGCTGGTGGCCTCTGCATGGCATCTGCCTCTACTTAAATGCTGGTTTCTCCTTGCCTGACACTGCACCACCACCCTGGGCCTGAGAGCAGAGCAGCCCGTGAGGCCGTCATCGGTCCTCTGGCACCCCCTGCTGGTTACTCTGGGAAACCAGGTACATGCCAGACCTGGCCAAGTGCAAGGACTCAGAGGGAAGACCTCCGTTTCCCCACAGACACCCCACATTACAGAGGAAACAACTGAGGCACAGTGCCTGGAACAGAGCAAGGGCCCAAAACGTATTTGTGGAATGAATGAAGGAACGAGTGAGTGAATTGCAGCAAGAAAACACCAAACGGTCTTTAAAAATATGGCGTAAAACCTGCTAAATAACCAATGTCTGTTGAGTACCAGCCACGTGCCAAGCTCTCCATCAGGTGCAGAGGGTGCCTTCCGGTGTGGCCATGCTAGAAAACCCATGCTAGTGACCACCAGATTGAGAGCCAGCTCAGCCCCAGGTGCAGACTGTCCTGGCCAAACCGCACAGTTGCCTGTGCTCCTTGATGAAACGGAGGCTCCAGCAGGCTGTGCTATTGCCCAAGGTCACGAACTGCTAAGAGCGGAGCCACTGAAATAGCCCTCACCCCACGCCGAGGCCCAGCGTGGACACCCCCTGAGACACAGCCACACTGGCCAACCCAGAAGCCAGAGTGCTTGAGCCCCCTCCGATATGCCTCCTGGGGCACCCACCACACTGCACGTCTCCCTCCTTCCCTCTAACTATCCGCCCCACCCCACTGCCACAGATCCCTCACCACAGTGTCCCAGGCAACGTGCAGAGCCCAGGAAACCCTGTGATCAAGGGCTGAAGCTCACCACCGGGACCCCCAACGGGCTTGTCAAAACCACAGCCCCCCACTCCTCCTGGTGCACCGAGTGCTTGGAGATCCCAGAACAAGGTGCAGGGAGGTGGGGTGGGGTCGGGGCCTGGCCCCCAGAACCCAGATCACCACAGAGCTTTTGTAAGGAAGACAGCACGGGCTTGGCCGGGGCTACATGAGGAGAGCTCAAAGCAAAAACAAAAATCTGTCCCAGGCACCTTCTCGAGCTAAATGTAAAAATGGAAACCCCTACACATTTAGGAGAAAATACGGCAGAATATCTTCACAAGCTCTTAAACAGCACCAAATTCTCTTACACAGCACCCCTCCTCCCAAAAAAACACAAAGGAAAAGATTGATGAAACTTATTACATTCCAGTAAGAAACTGCTGGACCAATGAAGAAACCAACAGTGAAAAGCCGGGCAAACAGCCTGGGAAATGATGTTCGCGATGTGTGTGACCCACAAGGGGCTGGATAAATGAAACACTCCCTCAAATCAATAAGAAATGGAAAAACAGCTCAACAGAATGAGCTCCAGCTCCCAGGAGGCACCGGGCAGAGGAAAGATGCCCCTCTCCCAGTCAAGGGAGCAAAGCCACACAACAGGGACATGCAGAGCGCACCAGCAGGTTGCTGGTGAGGATGCAGCTGGCCAAGGGAGGTGGGTTGGGAAGCAGGAGAGAATCCCGCCAAGCTGAGGGCTTGTAATCTCTGTGCCCCGCGACAATGACACCCTCCTCCCGCCGAGGCCTTGGAGGGACTCCAGAAAAACCTGAGCAGGAATGCTCAGGAATGGAAACCACCGGCGTGCCGGTGAGCTGGGCATGGGTGAGGATACTGACTGGAAGCTTACATCCAGACACCGGAAGGGCATGTCGCTGTTATAACAATGAAATGGAGCCTGTGACACCACATAAATCTCCAAATTATCACATTCCGTTTTTTAATAGCAAAGGGACACCTACAGCAAGATCCATTTACATAGAGTTTTAAAACAAGGACAGATCTCTATATAATTACGTCTGTGGTAAGATATAAAAACATACGTTGGGGACATAGTCACCAAATTATTGGTGGCTCAGGGAGGGCAGGAGAAGGGTGCTGGGTGAGGGAGCTTCAAAGGGTGCTTGGACTGTGTTTTCTTTTTTAAACAAAAATCTCAAGCAAATATGAAATACGGTAGAATGTTCAGATTTAGCAAAGTGGGGTGATGGTACCTGACATTCATTATCGTTATCTCTCTATTTCCCTGATGCTTAAAGAGCTCACAATAGTTTTGAGAGCCCTGGGTGAGAGCCAGTCCCCTCTCTCTGCACCCCAAGAAGGAGAGTTCCTGCGTGGTGAGCACATTTAGCTCAGCCCCGAGCACTAGTCCTTCACAGACACCCCAATATTCCAGGGGCCCTCAACCCTGGCCACACAGGAGAATCTGCCAAGGTGCGTTTAAGAAAGATGTGTGCAGGGCCCTCCCAGAGACAGATTCCGTGGGCCTGGGATAGGGCCACAGATGGGATGGTCTTTTTAAAAGACCACCAGGGGGTTCTGTGGTCCGGCCTAGCGTGCTCCCCCACACACAGCCAGGCCCAGCTAGAGGGAGTCGAGGCAGCAACTCCAGGCCCCAGGGGCTCTGCTCCATTCAGCCTGCCTCTTGTAGTCTTTTCTCTCTGGGACCTTAATTCGGGGCACCCACCCCCCTCCCTGACGTTGACAGTGCCCTGCATGCAGGGTTGTGCTACGTGCTTGGCGAGCCTCTTCTCGCTTGGCCCTCACTTCAGGCCTCTGAGTGGGTACCTTCAGCCTCGCTTTAGAGATGAGGCGACAGCCTGTCCAGGGGCACACGGGGGCCGAGGGGCAGGGCAGAGAGAACCCAGGTCTGTCTGGCTTCGGGGCCACGATGTCTGTCTGTCCACCTTTAACTGAAGGCATCCCCATTAAGGCCTGATATCCTGCCTCTTGGAATGAGCCCCTAGTTTGAAAACGCTCATTGCTTCGTGACGGGATGTGAATCTGACACAAATCTCAACCCTCTGCTGTGGTCAGCGGGTGGCCGTTACCTGGACTCCAAATCCGATTAGAGGGAGAAGGGACATCGAACCAAGGGGTGGAGTGGCCTTCTTTAATCCTTAAAAACGTGCTATGGCCCTTCACCAAAGAGGACATTTCCAGGGCTATCATCACCAGCGAAATACAAATTAAAACCCAAAGGAGATGCTACCACACACCCACAACAGTAGCTAAAATAAAGAGACAGGAAAGATCACAAGTGGGTGAGGACAGGCAATGCCCATCCGCCACGGCAGGAGTGCACGTTGGTGTAACTGTCTTGGGGCACCGTGTGGTGCCTTCTAGAGCTGGGTGTAAACTTATCCCACGCCCAGCGAGCCCCCCCAGGTATATCTCAGCAGACACACACACACGTCCATCGAAAGGCATCGTGAGAGCGTTCACAGCCACTCTCTTCTCGGCAGCCATATGCTAGAAACACTTCAGACGTCCTTCGGTGACAGACTAGATAAGTACGCTGTAGTAAACTCACATAACGTGGACACCACACTCCAGCTCAAGTCAGCAAAAATCAGTAATGTGTGATGTACGTGGATCTCAGAGACAAAGCTTGAAGCAAAGAAGCTAAGAACAAAATACTACAGACCGCATGTTTCCACTTACGTAAAGTTTAAAAAGAGGCACAAACTCATCTATAGTCTTAAACTGCAGATACTGTTTACCTGTGGTGAGGGGTGGTCACTGGTACGGGGCATGTGGGAAGGTTCTGGAGAGCTGGCGAAACTACCTATTTCTTTATCTGGGTAGTGGTTCGGCGGACGCTCACATAGCAGAGCTTAATCAAATGTTCATGTATGACTTGTGCCTTTTTAACATGTATGTTGTACCTTAATAAAAACATAACTCTAAAGAACTGTGCTGTGGACTATGATCCGCAGTGTGACGCAGACCTGACCTGGATAGGAGACCGAGGGCCACCTGAGTGCCCACCGCGAGCCTACCTGAGGGCACCTGGGCCAGGTGCTTATACGCCAGATGCAGGTTCTCCCGGCAGGCTGCCTGCGGGTCGTGCAGCAGGTAGGACAGGGCATGGATGACGTCGTACTTCAAAAAGCCTTCTCTGGGGAAGAGAAGTCCGATTTAGACACAAGTAAGAGGATGCCCGGAGAGGGGCCAGTAAGAACAAGAGGCAGTTAGCCACCCCCGCCCCCACGTGGAGTCTGCGCCCGTGCAGGCTGGTGCCGACCACATTCCTCTGGCTTCCTGAGAGAAGACAAAGGCCAGAGGTGGATAACATGTCACAGAATCCGTGAGGGCAGTGTGGCGTGTGTGGTGGAGGCACGTTGCTCTGCCCCTTCCCACTCAAGCTCTTTGTGCCCCTGGATCCTTTCACTCTTCTGAGCCTCAGTGCTATCATCTGTAAAACAGGGATGAGGCAGCAGAAGCTGGCCGCCGACCTCCCCTGAACTTCGGGGCTGAGCTGGCGGCCTCTCTCCACCCGCCCATCACACCCCACTGAGGCTCCAGGGCAGGCAGCTCGGCGGGCCCCCTCAGCCCTCCCTCCTCTCCCAGCTGAGTTGCAGGCTTGCCAGCAGCCAGCTGCCGCCTCCAAACCTATGTATGCCTATTATGCTTGTTGTTATAATTATATAAGTTAATTAAATATTAGGTAAGCCAATTAGATGAGAGAAGAGGTTTTTTTCATTTCCTTAGAAAACAGAGTTGAATGCTTTGGGAGGACTCAAAAGTGAGTCTCTTAAAAAAAGCGAGATGATTGTAAAAGATTCTAGAAGGTTTCTGCATGCAGATTACTTCATTAATGTCTTTTAGTTCTTGCTCTACTTTAAAGAAACCAAAGCTGCAAATTAGATAATGTTATAGATGTGATTTAAACAAAAAAGATGCCAAGAAACTCCAACCAGTGGGCCCATATCCAAGGACAGGCCTGGGTGGCACGGAGGGATTGGCGACTGCTGAGACATTTGTGTCTGGGATTAAAATGAACTGTTTAAAGGGAATATACAATTTCTTCGATTCCTGGCTTTTTAACCATTCCTTGTGATTAACCAACTAACTACTGGAGCTAGTCGCATCTAGTGAGCGGGCTTCTGAGGTCCCATCTCTCAGGGCTGGGGTCAGGCAGAAGCGGGAACTCAGGGTGAGGCCCGTGTCCAATGCCCAGCGCACAGGAAGTGCCTGACCACCTGTGCCCTGCCTCGTTAGCCAGGACTCAACCTTATGGTGAGTTCTGAGTCATCCTGGGAGAAGAAAGTCATAGGGGCCTCCGCTGGCCACTCGGCATGAGGTGTCTGGGCCCCTTCACTCAGTGCCTGGTCATCCACTCCGTGTCACTCCTGCTTTGAGAGTGGCTGTGTTTGTGGGCCATCACATAAACTATTTCCTCAAAGTGACAAGATGCCAAGCCCCGGGTTTCCACCCTCAGCCCTCTTCCCTTCACTACCTGTCTGGGGACAAGAGGGCAGAAGGTTTCAACATGCTTCATTATTCAGAGCTTGACGGGCTCCGCGAGTGACTGGCTTTAGTTATAAGACCGCCACTGGACCTGAGCGAACTTCGGAAGCCAGCCCCGGGTATTTTCAGCCCTTTGCATCCTTTGTTCCACTCGGTGTGGTGGAGCGAGCCGGGGTTTTGGAATCCTGGGCCCCGGGCACACAAGTTGCCTTGCTCCGGTCAGTGTGAGGGATGACGGAGAACAATGAAGGGGTGTGCAGGCCAGGCCATATCAGGTCCTCAGTCAGCAATGTTTCTTCACGGAGTGTGTGTCCTGTCCCCCAAACCCCACTAACATGACCACTGCCAGCGGCCCCCTCCCCACAGTGCAGACCTCCTGTGCCTCTAAACAAACCTATGGTCACCCTCATGAGGTCGGAGTGTCCTTATAACTGCCCAAGCTTCAAGCATCTCTCCTCTCAGCGTCCGTCACCCGTCACTGGGGGTTGCTACCTAATGTCCGTTTCAGGTCCAGAAAGAGGAAGGCGGAGCAGGAAGAATGAGCGATGCTGCGCTCCTCTGTGCCCCTGAGGTATTCGAGCACCTCCCCTGGGTCTGTCTCAGACAACACAGTGAGACTGACCGAGAGTCTTGCCAGGGCCCAGAGCAGGAAAGCACAGGACACCCACACTCCCTGCCCAGGACTGGGCTCATGCCACTGCCCACCGTTCTGTCCACGGTACCCAATGGCCCTTCTTGGTGCAAAATGTGTGAACTGGGTGCTCGCAGTGGCCCTGCCTCCCCACACGCACCCCATTCATAGTGACCTGTTGGGCCAGGGCTGCACATGGGACCTGGCTGACACATCCCCTTCCAGCGACCTGAAATTACAACCCAGAGAAGAGCCAGGGAGCTGGGAGGTCAAGGGGACTGAGGGACTGAGGCAGACATCAGGAGAGGGCCCTGAGGAGGCAGCGTGTGAGTTCACAGAGATTGTCCATGGGGAGAGGGAGGCAGCAGTCCCCAGAGAGAGGCCGTGGGCTGGACGTTTCCAAGATGTCACCCGGCTGAGCACTTCACGTGCACCAACTCATTTAACTCCCTGCCCCACGAGCGGATGCAGTGAGGACACCGCGGCACCGAGAGCTTGGGAGACGGAGGACTAAATGGCCTTGGGTTTTGTGAGCTGCCCTGACACCCTAGAAAGGACCTGAAGCTTCTCCAAAGGGGCATCTGTTGTTTACACCAAACAAGCCCACAGATGGTGAGCCCCCAGCCCCTGTGCTCTCCATCAACACTGTGATTAACACTCTCCCTTCCTCTTCCTTCTGGGCATGCGCACACCAGGCGGCGGCCCCAGGGCAGAGCCGGAGGGCTGTTTGTGAGCTCTTATGGGCTTATGATCTGTTTTCAATACAAAATAAAACTAGCGATCCCAGATCAAGAGGGTAAACTGAGCTGATGCGGGAAAGCACTTCCACCCCCTCACGTACACACCAACTGACTCCTAACCAAAATGCTGGGTGAACTGTCTCTTTAAGCACAAAATGCAAAGTTGTGCTTACACAAGGAAGGGACGTTTCCAGGCGCCAGAAAGCTAGAAGAACCTGAGCATCGTGAGCAGAGTTTGAAGCCACCAGGTCAGAGCCGGTGTGTACTTTGAGGCTGGTGTCTTGACACCTGCCTGGGACGGGAGCCAAAGCCACAGGCCCTTGTGGGGGTCTGGGAGCGGGAACTGGGATCCCCATAAAGAGCGAAGAAAAGGCTAAACTGTTGTGGATGCGGGGCCTGAACTTTCCAGCTTCAAAGGGTGAAGCTCAGAGCTGGAAAGTAACATAAAAACTGGCCTGGAACAGAAGCCCCATTAGGCCTCCACAGAGGCAACCAAAACTGTCCCACAGGGGTCTGTTCTGGCCAAACAGAAGTCCTGCAGAAGAACTGTGCTTCAAGTACTCAAGGTCGTTCAAGGGCATGCCACTCAGAGTTGGGGTGTGGTTCCAAAGCGTGACATTGGTTTCCAGAGACAGCTGCCCACCTGCCCACGTTATGGGTCGCCATGATGTAGAGCACCTCGGTGGTCTTCAGCCGCACCATGTCATTGGTGTCCTTCAGCAAAGCTTTCAGGCTCTCCAGGCAGCCTAAGAGGCAGAGAAACTTTGAACGTTTACCACTCTCAGAAGTCAACTAACCTGGAAGTCAACAGGTGGGCCTAGGTCGGGCAACAGGAGAGCACCAGAGGTTCCACTGCTTTGGGGCATGGGGAATCGTGTCGGTTATGAAGGAGTGCAGGGTCACCGAAGGTGGCTCTGAGTGCTGGAAAGCCTCCCACCCAGGGACTGTTTCATCTAACCCCCCTGGTGAATTTCCCTGCACGCTTCCGACCAGCGCCCTCTCTCGCAGTCTACCATGGGATTAAGAAAATGGCCTTTGCATTTGGAGAGACCAGGGGTCAAATTCCAACCCTGTCCCCAGCCAGTCACGTGCCTTTGAATGGGTTACACCTCGGGATGCCAAACTGAGCAAATAAAAGTCCTGCTTTATTTATTTATCAGGCAACCCCAGTCTCACACCCCTTCTCTGAGGCTTGATTTTCTATCTGTCGGTTAAGGATGCTCCTTCCTCCCACGGCCGGTGCTCTGAGGACTAAGATAACACGGCCACTACACGTGGGGTGGTGCTGGTCCAAAGCCAAGCTCATTACATAGCAATCCTTATTCTTGACGCTCCACCCAGTGTCCAAGGCCATGCTCAGACTGCCGCGGCCTCTGGAATTAAACCAGACCTTCAGATACAGCTGGAGGGAGAAGCGGCAGTTCACCCATCACGTGCCTGATCTGGGAAGCATGTGACCATGCCACTAAAGTCACCCCGATTCTTATTTTGGTAATTAGGAGAGTGGGAGACAAGGGACATAGGTCCCAGATTTATGAGTGGTTTCAGTAGTGTGCATGCCTACCTTTTGTGACAGCCTTGTGGATGACACAGATAAACAGGGCTGTTTGGTGGATTTGTGGCCAGCTGGTTGAGCCATAGCAGAGGGAGCCGTTTCGTGGCTCTGGGTGGGGAGCCGGTGGTGTCCGAACAAGAACGGACTGACCAGCTGGGAGGGATGCTGGGAAAAGGCCAGTCACCTCAGCTTCTCCCACCTTGACCCACTCTGTGACTGTCCATCCAGACCCCAGTCATGGTCACCTGGGCTGTGACACTCTCACCTATGTCGATGGCCACGTAGACATGCTCAGGGTCGTGCACGAGGTCACACAGAGCCATGAGGGCTTTCTGCCTCGTCAGCAGGTCCTCGGACTGCAGCTCCTTGTTCAGCTTGGGCAACGCCCGACAGCCATAGGCAATGGCAGCCTGGCTGGGGTTGACATCGGGGGGCAGGTACATGGAGATCTGGGCACTGGCCATCTCCTCAAACCTGCAGAGGGTGACTCTCTAGCTTTCAAATGAAGCTCTGCAGGAACCACTGATTAAAAGAACCCAAAAAGTTGTCGTTACTACTACCGTGATTTAGAAGCTACTTCTCATTTGATCCTGAAAACTGCAAGGGCAGCAGATGGATATTTTTACTTCCATCTTACAGATGAGCAAACCGAGGCTAAGAGCAATCAAGGAATCTGCTCAAGGTCACAGCAAAGGTAAGTAGCAGCCCAAACTGCAAACTCCAGAGTTCTCCCAGGCTTAATGACAGAAGAAACCACCCATACTTTACACACTGGGCCTTCAGTCAAAGGCACTGCAGAGACAAAACAAACCAAACAAGCAGACACGAATATTGGCCACTATGTTTAGTGCTTATCTTGTGCCAGCAATACCTAGTATCTAACTCAACTGCCCCAGGAGGAGGGGACTTGTATTATCCACATTTTACAAAGGAGGAAGTTGAGGTTAAGGGACAAGGAGCTTGCTGGAGGTCATGGAACTGGTCAGGCTACAAGCCAATGTTCAAATCTGTCAAGCTCATTTACCGACGAGGGACCCATATTCAGATGCTTCCAGTGCATCCACAAAAAAAAGGAATTAAGGTTAAAGCTTAATTTATTTGATTCCACACAAACACACACTTTGAGCAACTCTGGGCAGCGTGGCTTAGTAGTTAAGAACTGGCTCCAGACCCAGGCCACGGGTAGCCGTTGACAAGTTACTCCCTCCATCTTTCCATAGCTGCAAAGGGAGATGATACCAGCACCTCCTTCCCCCCTCCCAGAGTTGTCCTATTAACTGATACTCATGAGCCCGGCACCCGAGCGCTCCAGAGATGTTGGCTCTGATTATTACTATGGTGGTGGTGGTGGTTGTTACCACGTTTAGTGGCACTGACAGGTCCCAGCCCCGTAGGAATCTACTCCGGTAAAAGAGGTGAGCTAGACTCTGATTCCGAGTACCAGGTGACGAGGGAAGGAGGAGAGGCGGCCGGGCTGGGAGGGACGCGGCCATTTTTGTCTGGGCTTCCTTCACAGGGAACGGTGGGTGCTGGGGACAGGGGCCTGCCCTCCTCTAAAAGCGTGGGCTGCAGGAGTCCGGCCGCGAATAACAGAGCCTCGGGGCGTGAGGCCGCGGACACAGTGTAAGCTGGAATGGGTGGGTCTAGAGCCCCCTGTCCCCGGGCCCCTGTCGGGCCGCCGCCGCTCACCTGCCCCAGCGCGAGGTCCGGGTAGAGCACGCCCGTTGCTAGGGACCCGGTTGCCAGGCGACCCCGGCGGCGGCCGCAGCACCGCCCTCCGCACGCTCGGCGCCCACCGCGCAGGCGCGAACAGCCCCGGGCTGGGACCGGCTGTAAAGAGGGGACGATAATACTTTACTGGGTTTCTGTGGGGAACAAAGACTCAGCTTTGTTCGTGATACAGAAGGAAAGGGAAGTGACTGTGTACGCCCTTTTCTGTACTAGACACTTCGCATGGCTTTAATCCTCAGAGTAAACCCGTGAGGTTGTAACATCCAGTTTACAGAACCTCAACGAAATTCAGTAGTTAATCCCAGATCACACAGGCCTGATCCCAGGACTGCAGAGCCCTGGCCCGTGCTCCTTCTTCTGCAGCTGACTGACTGGTAATGACACAGATTGGTCCCTGTAGTGGACACTGCTGAGCGGGGCAATTGTTCTTGAAAACAAGCCAGACCCAGCCACCACCTGCATAAAGGCCTGCCGTGGCTCCCCATTGGTCTCAGGACAAAGTCCAAAGTCCTAGCCTGCCACTCAAGGGCTGGGTCATGGCCCCCTCCAGCCATGCTGGACTCTCTCTTCATCCCCCCAAGTAGCCAACTCTTTCCTGCAGCCTGGGCTGCCTTGATAGACACTTCCTCCATGAAGCCTATCTTCTCCCCAACTCAAGATTAGTAAACCGTCCCATAGCTTAATTACCCATTGGCACACTGCCCTCCCCTGATTCCCTGTTTACTTCTCTGTCCCTTCGGCCCCCTCAGTCCCCCCTTCCCCTGCCCCCCTGCCGACTCCCACTGCCCTGAGGGCGGAGGCCACGGTCAATCCTGTCTACTCCCTACCCTGTGCCAGGAATATCCCAGGAGGCCTTCAGTAAGTGTGGAGCAGATGAATGGTTAATGTGCTTGAATCAAGCACTTTCACCGTCTTGTGTGATCCTCATAACAAACCCTCGAAGTAGATATTCAGGTCCATTTTATAGCTGGGTAAACTGAGGCGTGGAAAGACAGAGAGGAACTCAGGTAAGGTCACCCCTTAGGCCTAAGCCCTTAGCAGTGAAATTCACTAGCGAGGCACCAAGCATCAGCCTCCTGCACATTTAGCTTTGAACTGAAGATACCTGACTTAAATCTGTGTGCCAAGGAGGCCATGTTGTGACATGGAGATCTGGCCCCACTGCTGTCTTGCAAAGGACCAAGCCATGAAGAGTCTCTCTAAGCCAGAGCATCCTAGTGTTCTTAGGAATCTGGTGTGGAGAGCGCTGGGCTGGGAGTTAGGAAATCTGGGTTCCAATTCCAGTTCTAGCTCACTGGGCAAATCCTTCTGAATATGTGAGCCTTCCTTTCCTTGTCTGTGAAATCAGGGAGCTGAGTCAAGTAGAATCTCAAAGCTGGGAACCCCAGGCCTCTCAGAATCTAGTTACACAGTGTTTTCTTTTTTTAATTGTCATTCAATTGTATTATTTTTCAATCTCCTTTTTATCTTTTAAAATATACACATAACATGGGCCGGCACCATGGCTGAGAGGTTAAGTTCATGCGTTCTGCTTCAGTGGCCCAGGGTTTCGCCAGTTCGAATCCTGGGCGCAGACATGGCACCACTCATCAAGCCATGCTGAGGCGGCATCCCACATGCCACAACTAGAAGGACCCACAACTGAAAATACACAACTGTGTACTGGGGGGCTTTGGGAGAAAAAGGAAAAATTTTAAAAATCTTAAAAAATATATATAGACACATAACATTATACATAGCATTTTGTCAATTTGTGAAACATAAAAATATCATAATCTCCTGTGAATTCACCACCAGGACATTACTGATGCCTGCATCCTCTTCCCCTAGGCTAGACCCATCCTCCTCTCCAAAGCTAACTGCTGTCTCATTTCCACGATTACGCAGTCTTACGAGTGCCTCTGGAGGCCATCCAGCCCCGCACGCCTCACTCTCCAAACAGAAACTAGCTTTCAGGAGCTCAGTGACGCAGGTCAGCTTTTAAACAGCCATTAATTATGGAAATTAATTTTGGTAGCATGAGCTCTAGAAGCCAGGGACATGATATTCAGGCATCATTAGATTGAGACCTATGCAGATTAAGGCCAGTAAATGGTAGGCCTGTCCATTCCTGGCTGCTGCAGGTGCCGGACTCGCATCAAATGCCAGTGCCACAGCAAGAGCTCCCATGCTGTGACTGCACAGAGCAGGCGCCCGCGGGGAAGACTTGAAGGAGGAAGGCACGTTGAAATTCATCAGGGCTGACCTGGAAGAGCCAGCGATGGGGGATGTGACTGTAATTCCTGTGTTCCAAATTGTTTGTTTTCATTTGAGTTATTTATTGAATAGGCAATATATGCACACAGAGGAAAACCCAAAAAGTGTGAAAGTAAATGTCTGCCTCCCTTCTTGGTCCCCAGCCGATGGGCTGTCCTTGCTCGTGGCAACCACTGGTATCTTTGCAAAGATGAGCTAGACTTATACGAGTAAATATGATTCATTTACTTTTTAATGTTGTGGCAGCATACTTCAAACACTGTTCTCCACCTTTTTTTAAATTTAACGTTCGTTTACTCATTTAACATTTAGCACTCAGTACAGTTTGGCCGGTGTGCCACATTGATGAACTGAACACAAAAAGGCCTGCTCAGTGCTCTCAATGGAGGGAGACACACCAGCAACATAAACAATAGGTTACATAATATGTTGGAAAATAGTAAGTGCCTGGGAGAAATAGAGCAGAATAAGGGGTTGGGAGGATGCTGCTATTGTCAACAAGGTGCTTAGGGGAGGCCTCATCTCGAGGTGACAGCTGAGCAAACTTGAAGAAGGTGAGGGAGGGGAGCGATGTGGGCATCTGGGGGGAAAGTATTGCAGGCCTAGGGAACAGCCAGTGCGAACACCCCAGTGTCTGGGGTGTAGGATGGACAGCAAGGAGGCCAGTGGAGCATGTGTGGGATGGGGGTGGGGCTAAGTAGGAGATGAGATGAGAGAGGAAATGGAGCGGGAACAAATAACGTGGGGTCTCTTGGGCTATTGTAAAGACTTCATTAATCTGAGAGAGATGAAGAGGCACTGGAGGGTTTGGAGCCGAGGACTGACATGATCTGATCTCAGTTTCAACAGAAGGATCTCTGGAGCTGCTGCACTGGGAACAGGAGAGGGCAAGGGAGCAAGCAGGGAGGCCAGTTAAGGGGAGAGAAGATGATGCTCGGACCAGGGTGATACCACTGGAAGAGGGAGGGAGAGAGAGGATACTGTACATATTTTTGGGGTAGAACCTACAGGATTTACTGAAAGGTCAGATATGGGACGTGAGAGAAAGTGGTCAAGGGATCTTGAAGATCCCTCCATACCAATATATAAAGAAAAACACGAAATATTTAGATAACCAGAAAAATAATATTTAATATATTATGAAAATAAATACTTAAACATTTCGCATATCCCTACCAGTTTGAGCCACCACCCCGCCCAGCCGCGGTGATCGCCAGGGAGATCGGGTGCGCGAGTCTCTCCACGGTCGGCCCCGCCCAGACCCCGCCCCCGGAACCCCGGCTCCACCCCCGGCCGCCGCGGCCCCACCACAGCCAGCCTATCCGGCCCCGCCCTCGTTGCCGTGATGGTCGCCGGCGCTCTGGCCGCGGACCAGCAGCTTCCGGTGGCTCCCGGGAGGCTTTGGTTGCTAGGGTGATCGCTGGAGCAGGCCGCGCGTGGGACTCTTACCGCGGTGAACTCCGCCCAGACCCCGCCCCAGACGTTCGGGATTCGTCGGACGCCGCGGGTCCCTAGTGGCGCCCGTTGCCATGGTGATCGCCGCCGCGGGCCCAGCCGGACCAGGCAGCGCGGAGCCCCGAGCTTCTGCAGCCGCAGCGGGTGAGTCCGCCGCCCGCTCTGTGCCCCCCTCGGCGCCCCCCGTGAGGGCGCGTCCCAGGCTGGCGTCGGGAGCACTCCGCGTCCCCTGCCCACCTCCTGCCGCCATAACCTGAACGCGGCCTGGGCCCCGGAGCCGCCTCTTTCTACGCGCCCGCACTGGGCCAGGCCGGTTCTGGTCCTGGAAAGAGCAGGTCAGATCGGGAGGGCAGCAGGCCTCGGTCAAGGCCACCCTAGTGGGGGGAGGGGGCGGACAGGAGGAGAGCAAGGCTGTGGAATAGGCGTGAGGAGCCCGGCGCTGGGGGACGTCCTCAAACGGGTCTCTGGGCTGAAACCTGAGGCCCCGGGCCACCCAGGGCCTCATCCCTTAGAGACTAGGATCAGGGCACCCCTCCCCGTTCTACTTCTCTTCCCCGGGCTGTGGTGCGCAGCCTAGCATTGGTGCCATGCCTCACTCGCACCCCAGTGATGACCTCAGAGAGGAGCCGCTCCCAGTTGGACGCCAGACTGGAGGAGACGCCTGTCTTAAGGACTCCCAGGCAGGGCCATGCAGGCCTGGTCTCCCCAGCACCCCCACCCCACGGTGCTGCCTGCAGATTGAAAGAGATGACCTCCAGCAGATAGTCCTGACAGAGAAGGAGGCCTGGATCTGTTTTTAAAGCTGCTGAATGGGGCCAGCCCCATGGCCTATTAGGTTCCACATACTCTTCTTTGGCAGCCCAGGTTCCATTCCCAGGTGTGGACCTACACCACTCCTCCACGGCCATGCTGTGGTGGTGACCCACATACAAAATAGGGGAGGACTGGCACGGATGTTAGCTCAGGGTGAATCTTCCTCAAGCAAAAGGAGGAAGATTGGCAACAGATGTTAGCTCAGGGACCATCTTCCTCAGGAGAAAGAAGAGCTACTGAAAAGTTAGGCATAAACTTATGTGTGAGTCCCCAGGGATTTGCACAGCTCCCTAACTCTCTTTCCCCCTGGTTGGGTCCACAGGACTGCAAGGATGAGGTCCTCCCTGATGCCTTTGGGGCCCCCTGTGAGCCGGGACCGTGTCATCACCAGCTTCCCTAAGGTAGAGTCATTAGGCCAGCCCTTTATGTGTGCATTGCTCCCCTGACACCACAGCCACATCCAGCGTCCCCACCTGCACTCACCACTGGAAACAAAGCAGGTGAAGCGGGGAGGTCAGCCCTCACTGACAGCCCCCAGGGACTTATCAGAATTCTGGAGAAGCTGGGAGACCTGGGGTTGACTTGCCCAAGGTGGGCCAGCAAGTTAAGGGTGACACCAGGAGGCAGTGTGGCATGGAGGTTAAGGGCATGGACCTTGCAGTCAGTCAGACAGTCCTGGGTGTGAATCCTGCCTCTGTCATTAAGCTGTGTGACTATGGGCAAGTTACTCAACCTCTCAGAGCCACTGACACACAAGGATAATTCCTCTCACATTGGGCGCCTGGCTCATGGTAAACAGGAGCTCCTTTGCCTGAGTTGTGGTTACTGTTGTTTTCATTATTATCATTACTGTTATCAAAACTCTCCAGTTTCCTGACACCAAGTCCAGGGTTCTCCTCGCTTACCATTCTACCTTTGGTTCCTGCTGAGAACTCACAGCTCTCCTCCATCTGTATTAAAATCCAGTATTAGTTGCAGCAGGGAATGCAAGTCAGTGCAGCCTCTGGCGGGGCAGTGGGACAGTATTTCCCAACACTGCAGATGCCCCCACCTCCTCATCCAGCCATTCGAGGCCAGGCGTTGCCACATTTATAAATCAGAAGATCAGACACAACATAAATATCCTCGAAAGGGGGCTGCTTAGACAGCAAAATGCTACTTGCTGACAGAGAAGTGAGGAAGAATGTGGCACCTCTTCCGGTGCTGATGTGTGATGCAAGCCAAAGTAAATCATCAAGTAAAAATGCAAGGAATGGAGCCGTGTGGAGCACACTCTCATGTGTGAAACAAAGGAGACGGGAGAGAGAAATGTATGTGTTTGCTTACACACTCAGAAAATACCCCTGAAAGGGCACATAAGATCTGCTGTCGGTGGTTGCCTCCGTGTGGCCTGGGACAGGCATGGAAGGAGAACTCCTCTCCACCCACTGGCGCCTGTATCTTTTGAATTCTGTGCCCAGGCTGGTAGGGAGGAGGGAGGTGACTGTCGGCTCTGGGTATCTGGGGTCTGCAGTCACTCCTCCTCCCCTTCTTGTGCCTTCCCCCTGGAGTTCTTTCTCCACACAGCCACAGAGACAGGCTTGGGGCCTCAGACTCATGACAAGTCCCCCAGGACTTGCCGTCTCCTCAGAGGCCCAGGCAGTTGCTTCCCTCCAGAGCTTGACAGTGTACCCAGGGATGCCAGAGACTGGTGTCTAATGAGCCAAAAGGAAGGGAAGCGTGATCCGCACAAAACAGTCCAGGTCTCGCGGGACAAAGGATCCCGTTTACAGAGCAGGAAGGGAGGCTCAGAGAGGTAGGGAGGGCTGCCTGAGGTCACACAGCTGGGCATGGTGGAGCCAGGACTTGATCCAGCTGTGGCTGACTCCAGAGCCTATCGTGGGAAGAGGCCTGGGGCTTTTGTCCTGTTTCCACAGAAGGTGAGATTCTCCCCCAACTGCCTGTGGCAGTCAGGGGTCACAGGCCACTGCTGGCCAAGTTCATCCTGTACCCCAGGGTCACACAACTTCAGAACTGAGACATTCGACAGCAGGTGGGGCAAGTCCTTCCCTTTACTCCAGGAGCCTCGGTTTCCCTCTCTGTCAAATCAGCTCACACTTCCTGCCTCGCCTTCCTTATTACACCTCTCCAGTCCTTCCAATGGTGGGGCCCCTCTGCTGACCACCGCGTCCAGGCCGGCCCCCAGCTTGGGGCTGACATAGAAGAGCAGCCAGCTTTCTCACGAGGCCGCTGACACGCTTCTGCGTGACGTGGTCTGCGAGGCTGGCTGTTCACCTGCATTTCCCATCTAATCCTCTGATGCCCAGGTGCAGAGCTGCTGTCAGGAGGGGGCCCACTCACAGATGAGGAGGTGGGCTCAGTGAGGTTTCTTAGCTTGCCCTTTGGCAAAGCTCCTTCCACTGTCCCTGCTGCCTCAGTCACCCCTGGAGCCAGAGCAGAGCCCGTCTCCATGCCTGAGCACTCAGAAGAAACGCCAGGACTAGGGGAGAGGGCCGAGCCCGGCCACAGGGGAGCTGTGGGTCCGGCAGTACCCTGAGGGACACAGCAGCTGTCCGGGGGGACCGCTGCATGTCACAGCAGAGCACATCAGCAGTCTCCCCTTCACAGTGCCCTTCTCCCCGTGTCTTCACCACACTCCGTACTTAGCCTCAGCCAATCTGAGAGCAAAGCGTAATGGGAATCTGTAGTTTGTTCAATATCATTTTTTCTAATTATAAAATGAATGTGCCTTTGACACATGTCATGGTGTCTTAATAGCCACAGACGTTTGTCGAGCTCTTGGTGTGTTCCAGGCTGGCTCTGTGCTGATAGCTTTACAAAAAGTATCTCATTTTGTGCCCCCAAGTCTCTGAGGTTTGACAGATGGGGAAATTAAAGTTTGGAGACGTTAGGCAACTGCCCAGGGTCACACAGCAGCTAGGGGTGGACACAGGTCTTCCTGACCCTGTGGCCGTGCTCTTAAACCACTTCCCAGTTCTGCCTTCCAAGAAATGTGGAAGATTGAAAGTGCCTTCCAGGGCACTTTCCATGCACATATATGCATATTTTAAAAATAAGAATGGCATGAGAGATCTGTAGAAGGGGTGGGGATGGGGTCTAGGAGCTACAAGGGCCCTGAGAGCCGACGCCTCATCTCTCCCGAGGACCTGAGAATGGAGGCCTGCCGCCCGCCCGCAGCAAGGGCCCGGCCGCCCCCAGCGAGCACCTGCGGAGTCCCCGCCTGGCCTCTTTGGTCTGGCCCAGCCTGCTGCTGCTCCTGGGAGCTCACGAGACCCTGGAGTCTCGAGGCTGCTGACATGGTAGAGACAGAGGTGACAGCGGGATCAGGGAAGCTAATGAGGCTGGCAGCCTGGAGGCTCGGGAAGGAGGGACGCTGGGGAGTAAGTCACCACCTCGCTGCCCTGCTCAGTGGTGGGGCTGCAGCTTCGCAGGATCATGTGCCCGCCTGCCTGCCTGTCTCTTTCCAGTGCTACATGCCAGACGCCTGCCTGCAGCTCAAGGAGCACTTCCACGGGCAGGTCAGCGCCGCCTGCCAGCGCAGGAACACGGGGACCGTCGGGTGAGTGCCGCCTCGGCCCAGGGGTGCAGGATGTGGGGAGATGGCAGGAAGGAATGGGTGCGTGATTGAATGTGTGAGGGAACAAATGAACCACTTAGGCTGTGCCGGCGCAGCCCAGTACAGGCCTGAAGACGCCTGGGAATCCCGTCTGGCTTTCCTCGACACCTCTGCCATACCGAACAGCTTTCCCTCCTCTCAGCAAGCTGGGCCGTGATTTGTCAGCGCGAGGTCTCAGCATGTGTCTGTTTCCTGTGTCTGGAATGTCTTCTTACTTTTCAGGTCTCTGTAGAGTGTCGGGTCCTCTGGGGCCTTCTCTGAGCCTCCTGGCTACTCTGCCTCCCAGCCTGGGCTGGGCGGGGCCCCTCCCTGTGCTCCTGTGCCCCACGTGCTTCTCTCATGGAATTGCCAGTCTGCCTGTCTGGATTCCTCACTAGACCTAGCCCATGAGGGCCAGGGCCATGTCTGTCCTGTTCCTGCCTCGGTAGCACCTGGCACCTGGCACCACCTTGTTCCTGCAGCACCTGGCACTGCCAGCACAGGGATCTTACAACAGTCACTTCTTTTTTTTTTCTGGAAAGATTGACCCTGAGCTAACATCTGATGCCAAAAGCCCCAGCATGTAGTTGCAAATGCTAGTTGTAGGTCCTTCTAGTTCTTCTGTGTGAGCCTGGCTCACATCGATGGCTCACAGCACAGCTACTGACAGAAGAGTGGTGTTTGGTGCCCGGAACTGAACCCACGCCACCCAAGTGGAGCACACTGAACTTTAACCACTAGGCTGTCAGGGCTGGCTCGACAGTCGCTTCTTGTAATAAGCAGGTACAAGGGCCTGCTTTTGCCCTCACCCTGAGGAGCTCACAGTCTGCTCAGGGACATGGCTGAGCTCAGAGTTGTCACACAGGTGTGTGGAGGCCACAGCAGAGGCCCAGCTCTGAGGGTCCCAAGACGGCACAAAGTGAGGTGAGGCTCAGGTCAGGATGACCAAAGCAGCCGTGGTTGTGGGATGAGAGTGATGGCCACTGATTCGAGAGTGCTGGTTCCATACCAGGTGCTTCGCAAAGATTATCTCCCTGAGCCTTCATGACAGCTCTGGGAGATGGGGAGACTGAGGCACAGAGGGTACCCCCACAATACCTTGGCAGTACCTTTACTCCTTCCTCTGAAAAGCCAAGTCAGGGCCACCCTGTTCCAGAATTAGAGGCTGCCTGGGAACAGAGGAGACACGGCCTCCGCCCTCACAGACTTGGACAGGTGAGCTGCACCAGCTCACCAGGTGACATAGGTGCCCTTTTGCTGTCTGAAGGCAGAGGAAGTCCCCGGTCAGATGTTGACCTGTTGAGCTTTAGCGTGAGCTGTGGAAACTCTTGAAGCACCATCAATAGTCCCAGGAAAGCTGCTGGGGGGAGTGCAGGGCACACACAGCAAGGTGGCACCAGTTCTCAGTGAGCAGGGTCCCCAGAGAGCCCAAGAACCTCAGAGCTGTTATGCCTCAAGCCAGAGCCCGGACATGCAGACCTGAGTCCTGTCCACGACTCACCACATGGCCTGTCTGGCCCTTGCAGGCCCCTCCAAAGGAGTGGGTGACAGTAGTGTCCTGCTCAGTGAGTGTGTTTGCGAGGAGCAGGAGCCTGTCAGGCACCCAGCCCCAGGCTGGGTAGGACGCGCAGGGGCTCTGCAGTCTGTGCTTATGTCCCCTGCACAGTGGCGCTGTGTCCGCACCCTCAGTGTGCTCCAGGGTCCTGGCTGTGCCCCCTGCTTGGACACAGCTTCACCTGGGGCTCTTCCCTCTGCTCCCTCAGCCTCTCATTGTGGCCATTTCTAATCCTCACAACAGGGACTTGGGCCCAGTGAGATCAGGGGTACAGCCCCAGGGACAGCAGCGTCCCCAGAACAAATGCAGGCTCTCCTGGCTCCCTTCTGAGGGCCAGGGAGGGGGAGAGACATCCCAGAGTGTCTCAGCAGGTGGCCTGTCCTGTGTCTGGTATTGTGGGGTGGTTCACGGGTGGGAGCACAGGGGAACAAGGGCCCGCGTGTGTGAAGATGTCTCGTGACCCTGCTTGAGAGCAACACGGCCATATTCCTGACAGGCTCAAACTCTCCAAGGTGGTTGTCGTTGGCGATCTCTACGTGGGCAAGACCAGCCTCATCCACAGGTGCGCTCACTGGCCACACCTTCCAGCACCAGGTTGTCACCCTTTGCCTGGGAGGCTCAGATGACGTTGTAGTTGAGACTGTGTGGCTACTGAGAACCACACTTGTTGCAGAGGGGGTGCAAGAAATGAGAGAGATGGTGGGATCAGGCAGAGTGTGGCAACCAGGAGCCTGGCACTGGTCACACTGTCCCCCTGGGGCCACGGCTCACACCGCCCTGCCCTTGCTGCAAATGGATACCGCTTTCTCTTTCCCTGTCCCTGACTTGCGGTGTTTGCTGTCCGGGCTGCTGCAGTCTCTCTTCCTCCACATAGTTCCGGTCGGCTGTCTGTCCGTTTGTCTGTGGTCTCCATGGACCATCATCTCCTTAGTGATTCCCTGTGGGTAGACTTTTTGTTGCCTCCAGACTTTCACTGTCATGAGCAAAGCTTTTGTGCACAGCGTCTCTGATGGTTTCCTCGGCTCCCACAGGTTTTGCAAGAATGTTTTTGACCGTGACTACAAGGCCACCATCGGGGTGGACTTTGAAATCGAGCGCTTTGAGATCGCTGGGGTTCCCTACAGTCTCCAGATGTGAGTTGCCATTGTGTTGTGCGGTTTCCTGTGTAGCTTGTGGGGGGACTCCATGGAGACCCCTGGAGAGGGTCTTGGCGAGCTCCTCGACTCTGCCCCGTGGTGCTCAGCAAGGCCCTGTCCAGACAAGCAGGCCTGGGATGGTGGTGTGAAACTGGGCTCCCCCAGTTCCCTGAGGCCGTGGATGCTCCCTCAGTCCCTACAGGTGTCTTGTGTTATTTGTGGGACCTAGAAAAGTCCTCATAGCCTGATGTGCCCACCCACGACCTACCCCCATTCTCCCCTGATGCCCCCCTACTTTCCAGGTTCTGGCTACTGGTCCCTGCCACTCCCCTGCCTGGCCATCCATGATCCCACTTGCCAGGCCAGCAGGGTGGCCTTTGGCAAGTCACTTCAGACCTCTGAGCCTCTGTTCCCATCTAGCAAATGGGCCAACACTCACCCCACTGCCCTCACTCCACTCCCCCTGCCTCTCTCCCTCTGTCTGTCTTCTTCCCTGCCAGCCTCCATGCCTCGGCCTCTCAGGAGCCCACTGGCTTAGGCCCCTCCCCTCTGGTTTCCCTCAGAACAGCCCAGAGTCTCTCCCCCAGGCTCACGCTCTCCCACCAGAGCTCTGGAACTTGCCTTCCCTCTCCTCTGGCACCTGCAGGATGCTGCAGACCTGCCCACATTTCTAGCCCTGCTCCTCCTGCAGGGCTCCCTGCCCATCCCAGGCTCTCCTGTGTGGCCCCCTCCCCTTCTCACTCTCCTGCGTGGCTGTCCCTGCCCCCCTCCCCTTGTCTGCTGGCATTCACCAGGCCTCTGTCCTGTCCCCTTCTCCTTTCTCTCTCTCTGGAGTCCACGCCCGCTCCTCTGGTTTCGTCCTCAGTCCTCCATGCCCTGCCTGGGCTGGGCCTGGGGATCCGTGGCAATCAAGATGGAGCTCACCCTCTCCTGGACCTCAGCCCCCAACTCTGTCGAGACTCTGCCCCCTTCTCTGAGGTCAGCCCCAGTGTAGTCTGGAGCCAGATGGTACCACCAACTCTCACCCCAGGGAGAGTACACGGTCAGACCAGAGCAGAAGAGGCTTGAAAATGCAGGGCTGCAGGACCAGGGGGCCTGGAGCCAGGAGAGCTGAGAGGAGCAAAGAGCCAGGAAGAGAGTGGCCTGTGGCTGGGCTCACCATTGTGACCACAGGCCGTATCTAATTAGAGGACCCAGGACAAAAGAGGGACACTGTCCTGGGTTGGCCTCTCATTGAGGTCATTGCCAGCCACCCAACTGGCCCCACCTCTAGGCCACCCTTCTAGCTCCCCACTCAGCTGGCATCATGCTGGATCACCTGAAAAAATTCCTGACCATTGATGTCTTATTCATGGCTTGTTTACTTTTTGGTTTACTGAGAAAAGTTCAATTTTGATCTGTTGATTTAAAAACAGGATGGATTTTCAGATTCAGTCCTACCTACTGACCTCCTGCCTGTTTCTAAACCAGGGCCAGTAGATCTCAGCATGTACTCCCCACTCTCCTATACTGTGCCCAATGGCAGGCCTCATTAATGGATTGTTGCATTCTTTTCCATGGAGCCAGGGCTCAGCTTCTCCAGAGAACCAGAGCTAACTGATCAGAGTCACCCAGGAGATGCAAACCATGTCCCTGTTAGACACCCCCTCCCCCCACGCGGGGAGCTGAGCATCCCCTCCCCTGCAGTGTGGAACGTGAAGCCATGGCCTAGTCACACATGAGCTAGTAAGAGCCACAGCTGGCAGGTCTGGCCTAATCCCAGGGCCTCCCTTACAGTGGACTTGCACATCTGCAGAGCGGTACATCAGAGAGCGTATTCTCCTTTTTAATGGCCTAGTCAGAGGGACTGAGCTACAACTCCCTTCATCTGGGCAGTGGAACTCAGAAGGCTGTGTCTCTCCCCCGTGGGCATGGTGAATCCAGCCAGGGAATTGCCCTGTGGGGCACCCCAGGAGGAGATCATAAGGAATTGGGGGGCGGGATGGCTGGCTGGCAGCAGGCACTTCCTGAGGCCCATGCAGCTGGCGTGGGCCCTCAGGTCTGCCCGCCCCTGGCCCTACCATTCTGCTGGCTCAGACCACTGCAGTTGCTTAATCTACCACCTCTCTTTCCATTTCTCTCTCTGCCACCACACAGCTGGGACACAGCAGGGCAGGAAAAGTTCAAGTGCATCGCCTCCGCCTACTACCGGGGTGCCCAGGGTGAGCAGCCGGGTGATGGCAATGGTGGGGCCTCGGGCACATGCAGTGGGGGCTCCCCACTGGTCTCAACGACGAGAAGTCCAGGTGCTCTGCGGAGGCACCAAATGTGTCCTCTGAGCACCACTGAGAACACCCCCCGGGCTGGTCCTGGGGGACGGGGAAGCTGCCTTCCAGCTGGGCGCGGGCTGGCCTCTGCAGTCACACTCTGCAGGGACCCTGTGGCGGTAGGTGCTCCTCGTAAGTCTCAGCTCAGTTTCAGCTCAGAAAGACACTCAGGGGGAAGTACATGTCCAGAGACCCAGAAAAGAAGAGCAGAGTCGACTCCGGGAGGAGGTGGGAGAGAGGCTAGGCCAGAGGGGAGAAATGGGGGTGAGCGCAGGAGGGCTCCACCCCCAGGTCAGGGCAGCAGATGGGCCCGGGCACTGGGCAGGCCTCCTGGTCAGCGGGCGGCGGCAGCAGAAGCTCCCGACTCCAGCCCCCCTGGCCCAGGAAGCAGATAGGAAGGGGTTTCAGTGGGAGATGGGAGAAAACTGTCCAAAGTAACCCAAACCAAATTCAGGTTATGAGGCACAGTTATGTCTACGCAGTCCTGGTGTAAAAAATCAACATTTTCATTAAGATTTGAAAAAAGCAAAAATAGGAGACAAACCACAAGCATCTCTGCTGTGGGTTAGAGGTCAGCTTGGCCACGTCCACTGCAGCCTCTCTCTTCTCGGGTGGCTGACACCCTGTGGGGATGAGAGGTGTGAGGCACCCGACACAGCCCTGCACCCAGCCGCTGCAGCCCCCATCACCACCATCATCAGTTTCCCCCTTCACTTCCGGCCCCTCTGTGGGAGGAGCCTGCAGCCTGCAGCCAAGGTGCAGAGGAGAGCTTGTCCAGCCTGCTCACAGCCCCGGACCAGGAGACGGCAGGCCTTTCTGCAGTGTCCTCCAAGTGGGGCTGCCCTCAGGATCCCAGTGGGGTCCCAGCCTCCCTGGGCACCACAGGCCCAGGGTGGGGCCAGTGACAAGAGGAACTGGGGGGCGCGGGCTGTATCTCCCAGGGTTCTGCCCACCCGGCTCCCCAGAAGTTGTTTCCCCAAAGCTGGTTGTTGCTAATCGCCCTCACAGCGGTAGCTGCCACTGGTCGAAAGTCTGCCTCGCATCAGGCCCTGCACCAGGAGCTTTTAAAATAGCTGCTCTCACTTAATCCTCACAGCAACCCTGAGAGCTAGAGGTATCATTCTCATCGTGTCACAGATGGGGAAACTGAGGCTCTCAGGGTTAAGGCCCTCACCGAGCTCCTTAGCCGTAAGTGGAGGAGGGGAGATTTGAATGCAGGAGCCCACGAGCTCCATGCCCACCTCCTCTTGCCCCCTGGATTCCCCACTGTGGCTGGGCTGCTGGGTGTGGGTGGGAGCTGGCGGTGGGAGGGTGGGTCCCAAGGGGAAGCCATGGAGTGTCTCCCTCCCAGTCTCCATGGTGAGGTCCAGGGCTGAGTGCCTGAGGGACCACCCAGCATTTCTGCAGGAGCTGGGCTTCCCTCTGGCCTCCTCCTGGGGAGCAGGGAGCCACCGAGGGGAACCCCTTGTGTTTGCCTCACCTGTCGCTGACGGCTCGTGGCTCTTTCCCGTGTGTGCAGTGATCATCACGGCCTTTGACCTCAGTGACGTGCAGACTCTGGAGCACACCAGGCAAGTCTGGGCTCTGTGGCCCCTGGGGTCCCCCTAAGCTCGGGAAACTACCTGGCAGGATTCCCCAGGCCTGGGCCCGTGGGTGTGAGTGACTGGCTCACTTGTCAGAATGGACCACCCACAGGCTGCATACTGTCCAGTTGCCTTGTTATACCTCAAGATTTGCACCCATCCATTGAGGGCAGAGCCTGCTCAGGGCACAGCCAGCACAGCCACACAGGGGCGGGTGCTCGCCTTAATGCTCTGTGGTCGCTGTCTTGAAAGCCTTAATAATTGTTGGATGAGGGGCCTCACATTTTTACTTTGCCCTGGCCCCTGCAAATTACACAGCCGGTCCTGTCTGAAGGGATGTGACTTAGCACGTGGTGTCTTGGGCAGAGAGCTGGCCACATAAGCAGTTCCAGGAGTCTTCCTGCTGCTCCCGGGAATTGCCCAGCGAGTGGGCCGAAGCCCCTGTTGCCTCACTTTTGTTTGGGCATTTGCATCCAGCGTCTCCAAACCCTGTGAGGGAGGCCGGAGCAGCTGTGCCAGCTTATGGAAGTGCAGGACTCGCCCAAGTTGACACAGGGCCAGGACAGGGTCTTCACCGCCCCTGACCAGTGCTCTTGCATCCCCACCCCCTCCAGAGGTCCAGCCGAGGCCCTTTCAGCCGCAGGCCCAGTGCCCCACTCAGCCAGCGTGGGTCAGGGTGCCCCCAACCCTGGGGAGGACCTGGGTCTGCCCCCCTGTCCCCTGGGCCCCTGCAGGTGGGTAGGTGCTATCTCTCAGGCTGTCTCCCCTCTCTGCTTTCCAGGCAGTGGCTGGAGGACGCGCTGAGGGAGAACGAGCCAGGCTCCTGCTTCGTGTTCCTTGTGGGAACCAAGAAGGACCTTCTGGTGAGCAGAGCAGAGCTGGAGGCCTGGGGCGGCCCTCAGGAAAATGCGTCACCTTCAGCCCACGCTTAAGGAATGGGGGGTGGCACTGCCATGCCAGATGGGAATTTGTGGACTGCAGCCCCCGGGGCACTTGAGGTTCCTGTGCTCATCTTGTCAGGGAGGGACAGCTGGCACCCAGATTTGCTGGGGACCATGGGGGTCTCACCCCAGGGTAGGCATCCCCCATCCCCCTACCATGGGGCCACCCAGCCCAGGGCAAGATGGGGAGGGAGGGGGCACAGTGGGCAGCCGCCTACCCTGGGTGCCTCCCAGCAGGAGGGCCAGGGAGCTGTGTCAGGAGGGCTGCTTCTCCCAGTCAGGGGCGGCGTGTGAGCAGGCAGAAGCAGAGGCCGTGCGCCTGGCCAACGAGCTGCAGGCTGAGTACTGGTCGGTGTCAGCCAAGACGGGTGAGTGGGCACGGGGCTGTCGCCATGTGAGTGTGGGGCCAGCCATCAGGGAGGCTTACACGTTTTCTTCTGTGGCTCCATCATGGGCCTGCATCACAGGCAGCTGCTGGTGACAATGCAGGGCCTGCCGTTGCCTGAGCAGGGTCTCCTGTCTCTAGAGAGGAACAAGGAACCTGCCCCGTGGATGGCAGGAATAGTGATCCCTGGCCCTATGCCGCCGTGTTCTCTCACAAAACCGCCCCTACCCATGAGGCAGGTCCATTTTACCCTTGTGAAGTCACTTCCAGGGTCACAGGGAGGAAGTGGCAGGGCTGGCGTTGGAGCACAGCCCGCACCTATGACACTGTGCCATCCTGCTGGGAGGCACCGCCTGCACGTAGAAGGGCCTGGTAGCGGGCTCCTGTCCCTTCCCTGGGAGTCATCGTGGGAGACACTGAGACGTGGCTCACAGCCCCTCGGCCCTTGTCCACACCCCACCCGGGCTGTCCCCCCAACCTGGGCCCCAGCCCCCAAGCCGCCTTCACCCACAGGCTACTGCTTACCCGGCAAGATGCCCACGTCTCCGAGCCTCAGTGTCCTCTGGGAAGCAGGACGATGCTGTCCATCTCGTTTTATTTTTAATGGAAAAACATGTTTTAGATTACAAAAATCAGAAATATTCACTAGGAAAAATTAGAAAATGCAGAGAAGCAAAGAATAGAGTGAAAACACAGGTTGTTGAGGGGGATGAAAGAAATAATGAGTAGTGCCCGGCACATAGTAGGCCCCAGGGGCTCGGGGCCTCAGGAGTTACGCCTGGTAGTCCTTGCCCCAGATGAGGGGCCACGGTAGACATCTGGCCAGGACTGGGTGAGGCAGCGGGAGCGCTAAGGGTAGGCAACACGCGTGGCAGCACCACCTCTATCCCAACACAAAAATGTGGCAGCACCTGGGCCTGATTCCCTCTGCTCTGTCTTGACGTGTACTTGGTGCCCTGTGAGAATCTGCCCTCTTATCAGAGTAACAGCACATTCACTGAGCGCCTCCTATGGACCAAGAAGGATTGCCCTGTGCAGTTGTACAGGTTGTGAGCTACACAAGAGTGGTGTGTGTGTTGGGGGCTGGACCCTGGCCCTGTGCCCAGATGGGCAGCCTCCTTCATCTGGAGGAGGACACACAAAGGCTCGACATGGGGAGCCAGCGCACATTAATCCTCACAGCTGCCCACTGGACAGATGCTCAAAGTTATAGGAGAGCAGGCACCCCTCTGATCGCCACACGTCCCAGCGCCTGGCCCACAGGAGGGGCTCAGTAGCAACTGATTGGAAGAGTAGATGCTGGGAAACCAAGGCTCAGACATCTAAGGGAGCTGCCACGGCAGGTGGTGGGGCTGCGGAGGGGGCTGGAGCCGGGTGGGAGCCAGGCCAGCCCTGTCCCCTGCACTTCACTGGCCCAGGCAGCCCTAGAGGTGGGCTGCCCCGCCTCCAGCATCCCCCAGCTCCCACCCAGACGCGTGTGCGGGCAAGGGCAGAGGCGGGGGTCACAGCTGCCTCGTGGGCCCGCAGGGGAGAACGTGAAGGCGTTCTTCAGCCGTGTGGCCGCCCTGGCGTTCGAGCAGTCGGTGCTACAGGACCTGGAAAGGAGGAGCAGCGCCCGGCTCCAGGTCGGCGACGGAGACCTCATTCGTGCGTACAGGCGCCGGCTCGGGGCTGGGGAGCAGGCTTCCGGCCTCCAATCCATGTCCACCATCCTCTGTCCCAAGACTCGCCCATTCCCTTACCTTACCGCCCTCTGCTGTCCTCTCTTCCATCACTCTGATCTCAGGCCTGTATCCTCCTGGAGCCCACCTGCCAGTTCAGACTCCCTCCCTGGCTCTCCTTGCCCTCCTGGCAGCCTCCTCATGGGCCAGTCTGGGCATCCCGGGCTCCATGGACGTGTCCTGGCCTTGGCTCTCCTAGTCTGTGCCTTTGCCCGCTCTGTTCCACCACCTGGAATGCGACCTGGGCCAGATCACCAGGCCTTGAACAAGAGGCCTAGGAATTCAAGCTCAGGCTCTGGCTGGCAGTCACCAGCGGGGGCCTTGCCCAGTGTCAGCTGCAGGTGCTGGGTTGATGTGACTTCTCCCCTCCTCACAGGAATGGAGGGAAGTCCAGCTGAGACCCAGGAGAGCAAGAGTCCCTCTGGCCTGGGTTGCTGTTAGCTGAGGCCTACGTCAGAGGCCTCCACTCCGCACACACGCGTGGACACTGCCTTCTGTGACTGGAGGGGCGACATGGAGCCCGAGCTCTGTGACGTGTCTGTCCACCCACCATGCTGCGCCCAGCACTCAGCCCTTCTCTTTAGAGGGTCGGGAGCCAGGAAAGACCCCCACTGGCTGCCAGGGCCCCACACTGCCCGGCTGGTGGGTGCGCTGTGGTGACCGTCTGGAAGGCCAGTCGCACCTACAGAGTCATCAGACTTTCCCCTCTGGCCTTGAGAGGCCTCAGGACTACAGACACAGGAGGCTTGTGCCCCATGACCCGCAGCCCTCCCCCCCCGGCACTCATCAGCAGTCCACCTGGGCCCTCTCCCAGCTTTTTTGGGTTGCCCTCAGAATCCTTCTCATCTCAGGGGTGCAGGCAAGCAGGACTTGTCAAGGTCAGCCTGTGAGGGAAAACCCTCTACCATTCCTGCTTGGGACTTTTCTGTTGTCAACGGGCCTTCCTCATTGTCCACTGTACCTTTGCCACAGATTTGCGAGGCCCGTGGGCAGCCCTGCCCCTCTGGAGGAGGGTGGCTGAGAAGGTCTCTCAGGCCCCTCTGACCGAGGGACCATCTCCGACTCTCCCACCATCCCCAGGTCCTGCCCTCCTGGTCCGTGGGCGAGGATGGGCACAACAGGCCGCTCGCGCCCCTCCGGGCCCCCTGGACAGTGAATTTCCCCAGCTGTGCTGTGGGGAGAAGACCGCCCAGTGCTGCTACATCCCCTGTTTGTGTCACTGCCTGGCTCTGCTGCCTGCAGCAGCCATCCATGCTCTGCCAGACCGGCACCCACTGCTGCCCCTGCCACCCCTCTCCCGCCTGACTGCAAGGAAGGGCCTGGGAACCAGCGCTGGGCACATGCCTCTCAGGACCTTGGTGATGGCATCCACGCATCTTTGGAGGACGTCAGAGGCCAACTCCACCACCCTCTCTTGCACACCAGCTCCGCTCAGATTGTCCCACCCTCTGCCCCAGTCTGCCCACTCGTCCCCGCCCACCTCGTGCCCTAGGCCGGCGGGCAGTCTGGCCTCCACCTGCTCCTTGTAGACGGCCAGCATCTTTTGGGCTGCCTTGCTGGTCGGAGCCGTCTCCCAGTGCCCCAAGCAGTGCTGGCGCACTGCAGGCGCCCAGTGGGTGCTTGTCGGCCCACAGCGATCGCCAGATATCACAGAAGAACACTGGCATCTTTTTCTGTTCGTTTCCCTTTCACCACATTTTTAGCTCTCTCTTTTTATAGATATGAAAAAATACTTTTTATAAATCACTCTTAAAGGAATCACGTTCATGCTTATTGTAAAACAAAACAGTGCAAAGCTTTGTATAAAACACAAAGTGGAAGTCCCCTCCCGTTGGTGGCACTCCCCGGCAGGAAGCGTTGTTAACAGCTGGTGGGATTCCTTCCAGACTGTTCCTACATGAGCTTGTTTGCTGTTTAACCAGAATGACCTCTTGGCGCACCCGCTGCCAGCACCCTGCATTCTGGATGACCTGCCGAGGCGCCCTCACTGTGGGCGCGTGCCCAGCCTGCTGCTGTCTTTGGCAGCTGCCAGTTTTCCTTCCTGTGGCTAGCCCGGAGTCCACCCACCGTGCCCTGTAGGTGGGACATTTGGTTTGTGCCCAGCTTTCAGCCCCAAAGGTGCCACAGTGACCATCCCTGTCATTACAGCTTTGCACCCTCTGGATTCCCCGAAGAGGCCTTGCTGGCCCTTCTGTGGACTGTGGCCCCGGCTCGGTCCACTGGACCCAGTCTGGGGGGCAGGCCACACTGGGGGTGCATTGAGACCGGGTGTGCAGCACACAAGAGGAAGCGTCATGGGATGGGAGAGCCTGCGAGGGTGGGCTGGCACTCTCCACGCTCCTCCCCTCAGCCCTTCAGGCCCAGGTTCAGGGGCAAGAATCATGTCCTGAGCTAGAAACAAGCCATTTCCTGTGCTCCCGCCCGCCCCATAAACGGCCCTTTATTAAACACTCCTTGTGCCGTCACTGTGTGAGCTCCGTCCCTTCCCACTCCTGATGTAGCGTCTCCTCCGTCAGTATCACTTCGGCGTGGTTCCAGCAATACGACAAGTCAGCAAAGACATTCCCTTCAAACACCTCCACATTTGGCTGTGGATTTCTGGGGCAGAGACCCACGACCATATGCAAGTGCTTCAGAAACACCTTGTTCCTCTGCCCTGTCCCCTGCTTCCCTGTTCTCTGAGCCACGCTGCTCTTGCCCGACATTCAAGGCCCTCAGTCCCCAGCCCACCCCCACAGGCCCCTGTGCTCCAGCCCTTGTCCCCAGTCCCATCAGCCCTGGTCACGACACAGTCGCTGCAGGTGTCAGGCCCTGTCCTGTGCCCAACGGCTGGGGCGCCCCTTCCCGGGAGGATTCTGGACGCCCCCACAAGTTTATAGGACTTGATACCTTCAGGTGCAGTTGTCCGTGTCTGGGCTTTCTCCTTCACCCTCTCCTGGGACCCCAAGAGCCAGGACAGCGGCCTGAGGCCTCGTCTCCCCAGCACCTCCTGGAGGAAAGGCCCACAGGAGGCGCTCAATAGATGTGCAAGGGAGGCAGGAAGGTTGCTGGTTACTCCCTGCAGACATATTGCACTCTGATCCAAGATGCCCCTGCTCGAACCCTGGACCGGCCTGGGGGACGATCCTGTGCATGGCTCCCCTCAGGGAACTGAGACGGATGTGCCTCACCACTCACTCAAAGGTCCTGAAGCCCTGCCTGGAACAGCCAGTGAGGGCTGTTCGGGGCTCAAGTGTATGTTCTCTTCTCGGGAGGAGCTTGGTAAGAGCCAGCCACAGAAAACTCCAAAGGAAAGCCATGCAGGCCCTGGGAAGGAGGCTCAGGCAACGTGGGAGGGCCTGGACACAGGACACACTTGGGCTGTGGGGGCAGGGGAGCGTTTGGTGTATTTATGGCTGTGTAACAAACCACCCCAAAACTTCATGCTTTAGTAACAACTATTTATCACTTCCCATGAGTCTGTGATTTGACCTGATGCTCTGCTCAGTGGTTGGTGGCTGGGGCACTGGAATGACCGTCCAGTGGTCCAAAATGGCCTCGCTTCTGTAGCTGGCAGCTGGCGTGGCATCTGCCTGGGTGCTCGGCAGGGCCTCTTCACCCGGCAGCCTGGGCTTCCTCACAGCGTGGCGCTGGTTTCCGAGGAGTGTCCAAGAGAACGAGCCCCAGTGGACACGTGCTTATCAAGCCCCTGTTTGCATCCCACTTGCTACACTGGAACGTTTGGCCACATCTCCTACTGGCCGAAAACCCAAGGCAGTGTGGGAGGGGACGCCAAAGGGTGTGAATTCTGGAGCCAGGATTCACCGGGGGCCACGACAGGGAACTAAGGGGAAGGGTGAGAAGATGAAGGAATCTGTCACAGTTTCTGCTGTCCCTTCATCCTGAGGGTCAGCAAGGCCCTTCTCACCTTGGAACAGCCCCTCACCCAGACCCTTGCTGATGAACTGACAATGAGGTACTTCCATGGGGAAGCCTGCTTTGGCCTCCCCGGCAGATCAGGGCCCCCTCCATCCAGTCTCCTGACAATTCTCCGCTGACTGTCCTGGAGGCTTCAGGGGGCTGCCTGGTTCACCGCTGCAGCCCCAGCAGCAGCGCACCAAGAATCTGAATGCATGCGTGACGGGTCACACGGCACAGCCTCACATGATTTGTCTACAACTGGAACTTTCCACTTGGGCTCCCAGGAGAGGGAGGCAGGAGCCAGGGTCACCCCTCAGCCCATCAGGCACCACTCCAACCCACTTGCGGTGGAAATTCTGGCCCAGCATTCCTAAAGCAGGGGCCATCCAGGAGTGGCGAGGGCCTCTTGGGGGAGTAGTGAGGACCTCCATTTACTGAGTACTCAGTGCCCAGAGAAGAAGCTGGTTCAATCACAGCAACCGTGTGGGCTGTGCATCGTGACCCTCCTGTCCCCGTCTAGCAGGTGAGGAGCCCAGGCACAGAGAGCCCAAGTGATGGGACACATCTGGGCACCTTCTCCTCCGCCTCTGCCCCCCACCCCAGCTTGGGGTCTGATCCCAGTGGGAATCCCACTCCAGGCAGCCTCGCCCTTGGGGCACTGAGTCCTTTACCTGTGTGTCCCCCAGTCAGGTAGTCCCAGCAGCCTGCAGCCTAGCGTAGTGACCCCAGAAAAGGGTTTATTTGCGCTGTCCCAACTACCCCCAGCCCTCCTCAGGGGCCCAGCAGAGCCAGGAAATGAGTTCATCATCACTTCCCCCATCACAGCCTGCTCCCGGAGCCCCCACGGGTTTAGTCGGTGCTTCTCGAAGGCCCCATGGTGTGTGACAAAGGCTCCACAGTGACCTGGAGTAGGTCACTCGCTCTCAGCCTCCTTAAGTCTTATGCCCTGGGCGCCTGCTTGTCCTCCCTGCCTCCAGCCCTGCTGTGGCCCCCAGAGGGGAGGGGAGGCTGACATCCATTCAGCTCCATACCAGCCTGGCGGTAGGAGAGGAGCTGCTCCAGATGAACCTCACTCTCCCGAGGGACCCAGGGCGTCTTTAGCCAGGTGACCTGAGGTTACCTAAGATCTAGGTAACTGGGACACGGAGATGGATAGTGGATCAGCCACGTTCACATGTTCACATGAATAAGAATTAGGAAAGCCGTGAGAAGGCGTGGGGCACGGGGAGCTTTCAGAGAAGCAGCACACGGCTCGGTGAGGGCCCTCCTCTTCCGAGGGAGAAGGGGCTCCTGGAGACTCGGGGCCCTGGGCACCCCATCACCCAAGAAGCCTCAGGCACTGCCCTGAGACGAGACACCCTCCCAGGAGCTCCCTGGGCTCCCCTGCCATCTGCTGTGGCCTCCCAGTGTCACCTCCCATATGTCGGGCCTTCCCCTGAGGAAAGCTGATCTGCAGACGGCAAGTGTGGCTGTCACACCACCTCCTTCCAGGCAGCACAGATCCTTCCTGGACTCCAGACACCTCCTCTGCACCCAGGGCCGCCAGCCCCCTGCCTGAGCCTGCGCCCCAGGCTGGTCCGGGAGTGGTGCCTCCTGTCCCCAGGCTGCTGTCCACCCCATCTTCAGGGATAAATGGTGGGTGGCTGGGAAGCAAAGCAGCCCCAGGGCCCCCTCGTTCCCCACAGGTGGGTGGCAACCCTGGCCTGAGGGTTCTCTGGGTCTTTGGCCACTGGAAGCCACAGCCTGGACCATCTCACTGGCTATGCCTTCAGGAACAAGCTCATCTTGTCCTGGCGCCTTTGCTCTCTGTGAAAGCTGGGAACAGCAACCAGGACCTCCGCTGGGATTCCCTCGGCTGTAGGGGCTTCATCAATAATTGATTCACCCAGAGGTGGGTGAAGTTACAGCTGAGGGGGCTGGGAGGGAAGGCCCTCACCCTTGCTCATCCGGAGCCCTTGGCTAACGAAGCCCCACAGAGATCCCTGCTCCCCACTCTGGGCGGGGGGCTGGGGGCCTGGAGGAGGTCCCAGCCGGGCACTGTGCAGCACAGCACAGGCAGGCGGGACTCAGGACAGCTCTATTGATTGCCCCAGATTTCTGATCTTGCCTGGAGCTCTCCGGGGCTGACACATGACAGATGATGGGTGACAGATGGGGGTCACGTGGCCACATCCCGCTTGAAGGGAGCCCTTCTCTGGCCTCTGGCCCCTAAAGAGGGTGAGGGTACAGACAGGGCAGGGAAGGAAGAAGAAAACTTTCGAGTTGGCCTCAGGTAGGTCTTCAGGCAGAAAGCCCTGCCGCCTTTATGATGCCACGTCTCACAATCCTGCCTGAGGGCACAGTGGTCAGGAGAACCCATTTGGGACTAGGACAGGCTGGGCTCAAGTCTGAGCCCCCACTTATTGCTGTGTGATGGGAGGGGGGGGTCACTGCCCCTCTCTGAGCCGCTTTCCCTGCCTCTTGCCCAGATGATGGCTGCGAGGGTGGAAGGAAATCACATCTATGGAGCCCCCAGCTCCAGGCTGGGTGGCTGGCGAGGGCTGGGTGGACGGGAACCCTGAAGACTGTGTGACTGTCACAGGCAGTGCCGCTGTAGCCACTCACATGGCGCCTTTGCGTGCATTAGAAAAAGGCACCCATGTAGCTCCTCAAAAAGTTAAACAAAATTGCCATATGACCCAGAGATTCCACTCCTAGGTACATTCCCCAAAGAATTGAGAATAGGGACTCAAACAAGTATGTGTACACACGTGTTCAGAGCAGCATCATTCACACTAGCCAAATGTCCACCAACAGATGAATGGATAAACACGATATAGTATATCCATGCTATGGAATATTATTCAGCCTTAAAAAGGAATGGAGTCCTGCTCTGTGCTATAACCTGGATGAATCTTGAACAGAGTATGCTAAGTGAAAGCAGCCAGACACAAAAGGCCACATATTGTATGAATATTCATATGAAATGTCCAGAATAGGTAAACTCATAGTAGTAGACTGGTGGTTGTCAGGGGCTGGAAAGAGGGTGAAATGGGGAGCAACTGCTTAATGGGTGTGGGGTTTCCTTTTGGGGTGATGAAAATATTTCTTGACTAGATACAAGTTGTGGTTGCACAATGTTGTGGATGTACTAAATGCCTCTGAATTGTTCACTTTAAAATGGTTAATTTTATGTTATATGAATCTCACTTCAATTTAAAAAAACAGCAATCCTTGTTCAAGCCATTTGATATCCATCTGTTAGAGAACCGCCATTATAAACTGATTTTGTAAGAAGACATATTTTTACAATTGCTGTCACCAACAGTATTCATACCTACCAGCTGAAGCTGGGAATGGTGTCCCCTTTGATATATGCCCTTGTGCAGTGCACATTCTGCTCAACTGGAGCTGGCAGACCTGCTCAGGATGCCCCTGAGGAAGGCAAGGGTGGCCAGTCTATTTTAAAATGAATAATTGGACATTTGAAGGACAAGTCAGCGCCTTCCTAGTTTCACACTAATGGGGCCTTTTGACTTCAGAATGAACACAGACTCTGGAGCTGGAGGACTGGCTCTCAAGTCTG